TGATAATTTTTGAATACCACCAATTAAAAATTTTAGATAAGGCATTAGATGTTCTGATAGAGGTTGTAAAAAAAGTTTCATCATCAAAGTTGCTGTTATCATTGTTGTTATATAATTGGTTTGGTCACGTGAATCCACAGATCTTTCCTTTTAAGGAAGGATAACCGGTGGTCAATTTTTATTTTTGGTAAAATCGTGCAACTTCAAACCATTAAGGCTTTTTTTTATTAATAATATTGAAAAAAGCTTTCTATTACATTGTTCCTTAAGTCCATTAGATTGCAAAAATAGAGTTTTTTTTCCATTTCCAAATATAGTTATTGAGCCTTAACATTTTAAAGATTGCCTATTTTTTTTTGATGTCTTTAGATGATCTGCTCTGTACTAAAGATGTTAGCTGAAATTATTTCACTTAGTAAATGATTGTCACCAAATCCGAAATGCCAGCTTTCTTATTACTTAGCTGCAATTGGGTTGGACTTTGTTCCTTTATGTTTAGGTTCAGTGTTGGACTGACTGCATCTAGCTAGAGTTTTGTCCCTCTTAGGCATTGGCCTAAGCTAAATAAAAAAATAAAGAAAATAAAATTAAAAGAAATATATACAGCTATACTTATCAAAGGTGTCCCCCTGATAAGATATAGTTGGCTTGGTCTAAAGACCTCCTAAATTTTGGGCAATTTTAAAAGTATAGAAGTCACTTTCTGTCCCACCTTTTAAAAGATAGCTCTATTAGTTGATAGAATATGACTTTAGTTTTAATGTAATAGAGGGATTTTCTCAAAAAAATTATTTGTTGTGGAGTTCTATCCTTTTTTAAAACATGTACTTTACTATGCTTGCGAGGAATTTGTCCACTATGATCATTTCTAAATTTAGGAAAAATATTGCCAAATTTAGACTAGTTCTTGACTATCGTATCTAAATTTGACAGTAAGAAAACTAAAATCATGTGAAGTCCCATTTTTTGAAAATTTTTATTACAATTTTGAACGAATTACAAAATTGCTATTTTTGAAATTTGGCCGCATGGCGCAGCAATATGAGGTCTTTAGACCAAGCCAACCATACAAATAAAAATAATAAAAATGTAAGTAAATATGAATAAAAATAAAATAAGAAATAAAATATAAGGAATAAATAAATGTAGATATAAAAATAAAGTAAATAAATAAAAATAGAAATAAAAGATTTGGTTCGGAATTAGAGTATTTCGACTAACAAATTAGTGTTAAATCCTAATCCTGGTAACAATAGCAACAAAAATTTATCAACATACTTCCATATTGCTATTGTCCAATTAAATTTGGGGGAGTGTGTTTTAATGGGTGATAACCATTGTTTTTGTTTTTGTATGGATCAGAATGAATAGGTTATCAACAAATTGATTTTTGGATTAGCAAATAATTTTGTTTAAAGAAGACAAAAGTGTTAAATAAAATATTTACTATTTTATTTGTTAGTTTATTTAGTTTTTCTTAGTTGAAACTAATTAACATGTTACAAAATTATTTTTACATTAGGTTGAAATTGAGTTTTTTATATACATAGAAATTCTAATATCTCAATTAAAATATCTGAAAAGTTATTTCAATATTGCAATAATATCTCAAAATTGAGATGATATTTGAAAATTGCATGGATATTTAATTGTTCATAAATGATAAAAAATAAAAAATTAGCATTAAATTTTAATTTCAGTAACATTATTTTATTAAAAATACATAGGCAACCCCGTTAAACCGAAGGCAATTGTGCAGGGACTTTTCTTCGGATTAACGGGGGTTTTTTTATAATCCGAAGTTATTATTAGAGTCATAAATTAATTCGGATAAACAGGGTAGTAAATTTAAAAATTTAGAATTTCCTTTATCCATTTATTATTAATAATAAATATAATAAATCATAATTTACGAAATCATTTAACTAAAATAGGTGTCAATTTCTGTTTGAGCCATTGACATAAAATTTCTTTCTTTAATTCTCTTTTAAATTTGTTTAATTCATGCAGGAAACTCTCACTAATACCTATTCCTCTTTCTTCTTGCATTAGAAAAAATTGGAGCCTTTCAATCGATTCCATAGCCTGATCCATAGTTATTTTATCTTCAGAAACTTGAGATTGGTTATCTTCTTCTTCAATCACTTCCTTCCCTTTAACTAGTTCAATGATTTCTTTATCAGCTAATTTATCCTGATTTTGCAATCTCAAATCTATTTCTATGTAGTCATTAGCAGATAATGGATCATCAAAATTAAAACAACCAATCATTTCTTGGATTGAATCTGTATCATCATCAGATGGTAAAATTAAATAATCTTCAATATTTTCCAAAGAAGGAAGGATATCAACTTTAGACCAGCATGAAACAATTGTACTAGGCGAAACAAG